TCGAATGTTCCTCAGGTCCCATGTGGACCTGTTGTCCTGAGGTCCCAGGTTGGACCTCCTCCCTGAGGTCCCATCATGGACCTGTCCATGGTCTTGGCATTTGGGACCTCTCCAGTCGTCACGTGACCTGGGGAGTTCCTGGGTTCTTCCGTCCCGTAACCTTGTTTGTCCAATGAGCGTATTTATCGGGGTTGCGCCGCAGGTGGTCTGTAACATCATCCCCTCCTCTCTTAACGAATCGTCCCGATCGTTTCCTCAGTCTTCCTCTTGCATAAATAGTGAGTGTCTTCCCGTTGTGTTGGGTTCAGTAAGTCTTTCTTTCATCATGGCGCGTGCTTCTAAGTCCATTCGTGCTCCTCGTAACCGTGCTCCTGAGCGTGCTCGTCTTGCCGCTGTTATTGACCAATATGGTTCCTTGGCAGAGTTCTCTTGTGATAGCTGCTTCTTTTCTTCGACTCCGTGCCTTGTGATGGATTCTTCCAGTAAAAGTTGTTCCTCTTGTCTTCGCAAGAACTGCGCCTGCGTTGGCCGCTTGTCTTCGTGGAATCGCTGGGAAGAAGAAAACTTCTGGCGTCAATATCGTCTGGGGAATTCAGATACCAATGTTCGCTTTCATCTGAATCGGGTCCGTGAGCTCCAGTCTCAGCTGTCGAAAGCTCAACAGGAGTTAGCTGTTGTCATGGAGGAAAATTGGCAAATCCGTGTGCGAGCGACGGCTTCCTTGTCCGCTGTTTCCGGTCTTACTCAGCGTGACGAGGCCGTTTTGGGCTCCTCCTCTTCTCGTGATCCTTCTCTCGAGGCTCTTCTTGAGAATCTCTCCTCTGGTGGTACTTTTCAATCGCCTGAGTCGCGTTCTGAAGGTTCCGCATAGGCTCGTAAGTGTTTTCTGAATCGTCGTAGCCTTTCCATTTCACTAAGTAGTGAATCTTTCCGTTAATCCTTTTCTCGTCTAGGATTCTTTCCACTTCGTATTCTTGTTCTTGGTTTTCTTGTTGGATTTCTGGTTCGTATGGTTTGGCGTTCTGGGGTGCTTTTTCGATTAATGAGACGTGAAATACTGGGTGTATTTTCATATGTTCCGGTAGTTGGAGTTTGTAGTTAACTTGTCCGGTTTTCTCCAAAATCTTGAATGGTCCGATTTTTCGATGATCCAGTTTGTCGTTTGGTCTCAATGTTTTGATATTCCGCCGTAGTAGGAATACTTTCTCTCCCCTTTCAAAGGTTGGCGCTTCCATGCGTTGCTTGTCGTAGTAGTTACTCATCCTGTAACTCAAGAATTCCGAATCTCTTTTCATATTTTCGTGTAGTAATCGTAGTTTTTCTGCCGATATCTCCGCTTCTCGTGCGTGAGTCTTCGCTTTTCTGGGTATTTTTATCGTTTCCGGTTCTCTTCCGTAATTTGCAAAGAAAGGTGTTATGCCTGTCGAGGCTGCCTTAGCTCCGTTGTAGGCGAGCTGTGCCATTGGTAGTAATTCAACCCAATTGTTCTGTTCATGGTTGATGTAACATCTCAGATATTGTTCCACAGTCTGATTCATTCGTTCACTTTGTCCGTCAGTTTGAGGGTGATACGCCGTAGACGCTTTCTGTTCAATCCCCATTCGTTCGGTAAGTGTCATCCAAAACTTGCTCATGAATCTCGTATCTCTGTCTGATATAATTTCGTCTGGTAGTCCGTGATTCGCAAATACTTGTCTCAGGAGTATGTATGCCGTATCCGGTGCTGTCGTTTTTTCAACAAAAGGAATGAAGTAGGTGTACTTCGTCAGTCGATCCGTAATCGTCATTATCGTGTCGTATTGTATGCCCGTTCGTGGCTCTTTCGATTTCGGTAGTTTCGTAATGAAATCCATCGCTATAGATTTCCATGGTGCATCCTTGTGTGGTATCGGTTGTAGTAGTCCATAAGGTGCGTGTCGATTATCCTTATTTCTTTGGCATGTGTCGCATTCTCGTATGTATCTTCGGATATCCTTCCACATTCCTGGCCAATAATAAGATCTCGTAATTCGTTCCATAGTCTTTTCAATTCCAAAGTGTCCTGCACTCAAATTGTCGTGACTTTCCTTTAGTACTCGTTGTCGTACTTCCTTGGGTATATATATCAATCCCTGGTATAAGAGTAAACCATTCTCTTGTCTGTAATGCTCACTTGAGCCCGAGAGCCTTCCAACTAAGGGGTCTCGTTCTGAGTACTTCTGTACCTCAGCTTCCAGAGTGTCCGCATCGGATGTGACTATCCTAGTGGCCCTCAATGCTTGTGTGTCCAAGACCATGTCACTGGCATCTGGGTCTAGACGTAAGATTGCTCTGTGTTCTCGCCGTTTTGTCATTAAATCCGGTCTTCTGCTTAGCGCGTCTGCGAAAGCGTTCTCTGTTCCTTTGCAATGTTGTATTCTGAAGTTGTAGTATGCCAAGGTTTCTGTATACCATCTTGATTGTCGTCGAGTCAACTCTTTCGTTGTCGTGAAGTATGTCAGATTCTGGTGATCGCTTATCACTGTGACTCGGTGTTTGGTTCCTTGCAATTCTTGTTTCCATCTCTTGAATGCAACAACTATTGCTAACAGTTCTTTGTCATGGATATCATAATTCTGTTCCGCCGGTGTCATTGTTCTAGCATAGCATGCTATTAGTCGTAATTTTCCGTCTTCGTCTTTCTGTTGTAATCTGGCTCCTATAGCGCAGTCTGATGCGTCTGTGTCGACATATGCTTCCTTATTCGGGTCGAAGTGTAATCGCATGTCTCCTTGTCGGAACTTTTCTTTTAGTTCTTTGAATGCCGATTCTTCTTTACTTCCCCATATGAAGTCTTTTCCTTTTCTGAATAGATCCGTAAGCGGTTTCGCTAATGCTGAGAATCGGTGAATGTATTGTCGGTAGTAGTTCGCTAGTCCGTGAAACTGCTGAACTTCCTTCACTGATGTCGGTGTTGGCCATTCTTCAATTGCTTTAGTCTTGTCCGGGTCCATCTGGATTCCTATCGTTGATATAATGTGTCCGAGGAATTTCACTGCTTGTCTGTAGAATTCGCATTTCGATGCTTTGAGGTGTAGATTGTACTCTTGTAGTCGCTGTAGTACCAATCTAACCTTTTCCGTGTGGTCTCTTCGATCTTCTTTTGTAAAGATAAGGATGTCGTCCAAGTAGACTATCACAAATATATCCAAATATTCGCGTAGTACATTGTTGATAAATGCTTGGAACGTTGCTGGTGCGTTTGTCAATCCAAAAGGCATGACCTGGTATTCGTAGAGTCCAAATCTTGTTCTGAATGCAGTCTTCCATTCTTCTCCTTCTTTGATTCGTATTCGATAGTATGCTTCTCGTATATCCAGTGCCGTAAACCATGTGGTTCCCTTGAGTCGATCTTGTATTTCATCGATTAGTGGTAAGGGGTATCGGTTCTTAATCGTAATGTCGTTTAGTTGTCTGTAATCCACGCATAGTCGTAAACTTCCATCTTTCTTTGGTACAAAGATGATTGGGTATCCTGCCGGTGATGTTGATTCGCGTATGTATCCTTTTTCTAAGTTTTTATCGATGTATTGCCGCAACTCCTCGAGTTCGGTCCCTGTCAACCTGTACGTAGGTTTGTGTGTAGGCTCCATACCTTCCTTCAAAGGTATCTCATGATCCCATGCCTGATGTTCTGGCAAGCTTTCCGATGGTTCTCGTTCTCTGAATACTTCTATCATATCGTGGTATTCCTGGGGTATCTGTTGTCGTAACTTATCCAATTCGGTAGCATCCTGCTCTCGGTGAACCGTTCTCTGCTCTTCTTTTGTTGATCGATCACTTGCAGTTTTCGTAGTTCCCGTTTCGACCTGGGGCGCCATGCCCAGTATCTGACCTTGATCCTTGTCTCCGTTGCGGGTGGCCGCCAAGGTATCAGTCTGCTGGTCAGAGCGGCGTTTTCCACCATCTAGTCACAATGTGCCGTCTCTCCAGTTCACAGTCGGGTTGTGCTTTCGCAGCCAAGGGAGTCCCAAAACGATATCATATCCTCCTAAGCTAGTCACGTCGAAGCACTCTGTTCCCTTGTACCGTCCTCTGACGTGTACCTTCATACCAGTGGTTTCCTCGTTCACGATGTTGGCCCATTCTCCGTTTAGCCCGTTGAGCTGGTATGGTTCTTCCTTTTTGCGTGTGGCTATCCCTGACTCCTTCACATATCGTGAGTCAATGAAGTTCCCAGTGGCTCCAGAATCGACTAGGGCTTGCGCATATTTCCCTGCCAATTTCGCCACTATCACCAGGTGATTTCCCACAATTGCCGCTAGACTCGGCCTGCCTTTTAACGTCTGTCGACCTTCCGTTATCGTTTGGGTATCTTGATCATGAGTCTGTTGTTCCTGAATCTGTTCGATAGATTCGCATGTTTCATTCCATTCGTCTTCGCTTGACGAGCTTTCTTCGCTAGATGAACTTTCAAGGCTTGCTTCTTGTTGCATTCGTGCCGCTAGTTCTCGCTGTTGCTTCTGTAGTTGTAACTGTACTCGTAGCAGTCTGGTAGTATCGAGCCAGTATCGCGTTGTCGTGTTGCTAGTAAATTCCGCCATATGTCCTTGGTATAGAACTTTCACTTTTCGTTCTTTCTTCCAGTATCGAATCTCCAAATGTTCGTGTGGTGTGATATTTTCTTCATCTGTTATGCTGATACTTTTTCCATCGATCCATCCCTGGTACTTGTCATGTACTAGACATTCGTTGTCCTTGCAGTATCTCCAGTGGATATCTTTGTTGTTTCTGCATCCTGGGCATTGTAGGCAGTTGTCGTGGTGAAGTCTTCTTCCGTACTTCCATGTTTCCTTGAATATGTGATATTCGCAATGACAATCCCAGTCGTATTCGTCGTGGCATGGATGAGCTGGGTCAGAGACCTCTCTTTGCTTTTTCATGTTGTGTACAAAGCAAATGCCCTTTTGTTCACATACCGTCCAATGTTCTTCTCCTAAATCGTTCATGCATTCCTTGAGGCTGTCTTTGATTCGTGGTTCCTCCTCAATTCGTGGTAGTGCGTTTTCCCATTCGTGGTCTTCTTGTTCTGACTCGGGTATTTCTTGATCATCCTCGGATTCCGTATCTTCCTCTGAGTCGGTTCGTTCCGGGGTCATAATTCCTTGGTTAGATCCTGTTGTTAAGTCGTGTTCTTGATCGGTAGGTAGGGTATCTCTTTGACTTCGTTCCCTTCTGTGTCTTTCCAGGTATCTCCATTCTTGCCCTAACGTCGCGTTTTGTCTTTGTAACGTTGGCTTGTCTCCATGTGCAATCTGTTCGTCAGATTTACTCCATTGGCTCTCCATTCGTTGGTAGTTAGCCTCGTAATCGCTGTCTGAGTTCTGATCCGGTACTTGTAAGTACGTTCTTGCTGTCGCGCACAGATATCTCTTAGCGTTCTGGTGGTGCGTATCCTGCTGGCTACTAGTCCTAGACGTAGTGGTAGCGTTCAGGCTTTTCCCTGTATCTCCCTGCTTCTTTTTGCAGTCCTTCATTTGGTGTCCAGGTTTCTCGCAATAGAAACATAACTTCTGTCGTCGGCATCTCATATTCTTTTCTTTGTCATAGGGTTTCTTTGTGGTAGCGTCGAGTTCCATTGGCATTGGTCCATAGTTGTCTCTCTTACTCGTGCTCCGTTGATTCGTTCCTTTCCAAAAGGTTGCTTTTCCTTGTCGTAGGTTCCGCAAGTTGTATAATTGATTGTCCAGTCGTACCGCCATTTCAACCATTTTGCTGTAGTTCGTGTAGGGTCCCATTTTGATTGTTTCGTATTGAGTCTCTGGCTTAAGTCCTTGTTCGAATATAGCCATCTTTCTGTCATCGTCGTGAATCTCAAGTTCCTGGCATAGTTGTTGTAGTTGTGCTGCGAACTGAGCTGCGTCCCTGGTCTGTCGTAGGCTAGCGAGTTTCCTTTCAAGTGTTCGTTTGCGATCCGTGTCTCCAAAGAACTGTCTGATCACGGTCTTAAAATTCGGGTAACTTCCCAAAACTTCGGCATAGACCTTGGGTCGTCCCTGGGTATTGATCCAGTCTTCCAATATGGGTTTGAACCATGTAGCTGCGGTGTCTCGTAAGTATGATCCAGTAAAGATCACCTTCTCAACTTCGGTAAGTCCTGCTTTGGTGGCTAGGTAGATGTCACATTCACTTAAGAAGTGCTCTAGCTTGTGTCGTTCTCCTTTAAAGGTGTCGGGTGTCCTAATCTTGACTGATGCTCGTGTATCTCCGGTCCGTGCTTTCAAAGCTCGAATCTCGTCTGACATTCCCTTGATCTGTGTCTCACACTGCTCGATGTCGTCCTCACAGTCTTGGTCGTTGACTTTCTTCTCCAGCGCGTCGATCTGCTGCTTGAGTTGGGCCAAGATGTGGTTGGAGTTGGTGGTGTGTCCGCTTGCAGTAGACATATTGGCTTTTTTGTTGTTCGGGTAATGTGTCCTAGTTAGTTCTTTAAATGTTCGGGGTAGGGAATACGTACCTGTGTTTTCCTTTCAGATGTTCGGCTAATCGGGGTCGTGATTATATCTGCCGTGGGTGTCGACTAGTCTTTTGGCTATAGACTTTTCTCTGGTCGGAGTGACTGTATCGAGTCGGAATCGATTATGTCGGGTGCCTGTAACCGTAGGTGCGGGAAGATCAATGCTACAAAGGTGGGCTTCTCTTATAGGGATAAGGGAGGCGTCTCGAGGAAAGGTGTAACTCAAGGTGCTCTGTGGATGGGTTGGAGTATAAACGGTGCTCGTTCACTGTAGGAAGGATACTCCGGTATCCGACTTCAAGGCGATAGCTCCAAGTCTGGCTCAGCGTGCATGTACTCTCTGAGGTCCTTGTAAGCAATGAAGCTGGTACACTGGTCAAGTCTGGTATAAAGGTGTCAAGGGATATCAGATAGACAAAGGGAAGTGTATGTGTATTGACTAGTGCTGTAAAGCTATGGCTTGCTATGAAGTTGGCTTTGATCTTGAGTATCAGAAGATAACTCGAAATCAAGTGGGCGATGAGTGCCCTTATATACATGTGCTATATCAGGTCCCTCATCCTTCGAATGTTCCT